TCAAAGATGAATGAACTCAATGCAATGGGCTGAATTCCACTCCAAAAACAAAAAATTAAAATACAGTGGTTTCAGATTAATTGCTCCATATTCTGCTAGGGCAGTAAGGTAAAACCTCTGGTCTGCTTAATCTCCTCTAAAGAATTATACTGTGGTATCCTTAGGAAAAAATAACAAAAAAAAAAAGAAATCAAACTAAAACACACACACACAAAGAAGGAAAAAAAAAAAAAAAAAAAAAAAAAGAAAAAGGAAGGGGTGAGAAGCTGGACCTGACTGAGACATAACAAAAAAAATAAAGATGCCCACTGCTGAGGCCTAGCTGTTGCCTTCTATATGCTAACATTAATGAAGCAGTTAGTTAAAGCACACGGAAATATCAAGTCACTCACTTAATATTTGAGAGATAATTTCCTGGACATGGTAATTAACATTATTTTATCTTTCCATAGTTGTATTCCAGGACAGGATAATGTGGTTTATTTCAGACAGCAAGTAACCACTTTCTATATTCTGATTACTACGTGAGCTCTGAGCTTTTCAAAATAACATTAATCATAGAAATCATAGAATGGCTTGGGTTGGAACCAAGAATCATCAAGTTCCAATCCAGGGTTGCCAACAGCTAGATTAAGTACTAGATCCGATTGTCCAGGGCCCCATCCAATCTGGCCTTAAACATCTACAGGGATGGGGCACCCACGGCCTCTCTGAGCAACCTGTTCCAGTCCTTCACCACTTTCACAGTAAAAAACTACCACCTAATGTCTAATCCAAATCTTCCCTCCTTTGTTTAAAACCACTCCCCCTTGTCCTATCACTATCTACCCTCACGTTTATAAACTCCCTTTAAATATTGGACAGGGGTGCTCCAGCTCTTTGATCATCTTTGTGGCCATCTGCTGGACCCTCTCCAAAAGTTCCACATCTTTCCTGTGTTGGGGGACCCAGACTTGGACACCATACTCCAGCTGTGTCTCATGAGGGCAGAGCAGAGTGGGACAATCACCTCCCTTGCCCCGCTGGTCACCCCTCTTCTGATAGAACCCAGAATACTATTGGCTTCCAGGCTGCAACCACACACTGCTGGCTCATATTAAGTTTTCCATCAACCAGGACCCCTAAGTCCTTCTCAGCCCTTCAATTAAGTTGATAAAGAACATAAATAAAGCTTTCTATACTCATCTACTCTTCAATATACACATTCTAAGAAACATCAGTTGCTTAGAAAGATAGCTTATTTGTATTTCATTAGATCCTTTCTTCAGTTCTAGGAAAATATATTGAGTTATACTGTCTAAAATAATCTGTTTAATAGTTGTACCATAAATGCTTAGCAAGTCCTAGCCAACACTGCAGGAACACAGATGTCTTTTACAGCTAATTCAACTGGAAACTTTGAACAGTTTGCATGCTGTAGCCCTCCTCCTTCCCCCCTTCCTCCCCACCTTCTCTCCCCCTGTTCCCTCCTGCCTCCCTCTCTCTCTCCTTCTCCCCACTGCCTCTCTCCACAGCAAGGCCGAACGAACAGACTTAAGTCACTGCCAAGGAAGTTGTGTGAATCACACTGTTCCTCAAAATATACAATTGAACTGTTTAAAGCTCCTTTTAAAATGCTACTTGCAAGTAACAAGAATCTCTACAGTGTTATGGTAGGCATGAAATCATTCTGTGAAAGCGCTATTCACAGTTACACATACATTTGGCAATTAAGTGAGACCATCGTAGCCACTAATACACAAAACATAGCCTGTTGTGAGACATTCATTTTAATCAGATGTTTGCCTCCTGTTCAAAATTTACTGGAAAACCAGTTGGCAACCAACATGGAAAAGGAACACATGGTTTTCTCCAGTACTTTGCAAACAGAAATACAGATGGATATAACTGCTTTTACTGAGCTTCACACTCCTTTAGATACTTCAACAGGAAGAAAGAAACCCACAATGTTTCTGGATAGAATAAACTCCTAATCTTCTTTTGAAAGAGAGGTTAGGTAAAAGATGAAGACACAGTGCTGAGAAGGAAAACACTTCTGAAATCCATACAAGTTATGCTTCAGGACATGAAGAAGATACTACTTCCTGCCACTTAATTCATTATAAACTTAGTACTCGTTACTACAGTACTGAGCTTTTCTCCTTCCTTGGAAATATACGGCAGCCTGTATGAAGTATTTCACACATAGAACTCAACCACAGAATTGGAGTATTAATAGTGTGTTAACTTTTTCCACTATCAGAAAGACTGAACTAATGACTGAACTTCAAAGGTCATGAATCTTTATTTTACCTTAAAATGACTACATTCAGAGTCCTATGCTTTTGATTAGCACATTGGACTACTGCATGAACTTTTTTCAGATCATCTCCCACAATTATAACTTGTTGATTGGAAAGAGTTTACTGTTCATGTACAATAGTTGAAGTGGAAATAAACTATAACTTGAACAAAATTCAAATCCAAATAATGTTGATTTGAATATCTTAGAATGTGCTATTTCTAATTCTATGTAGTCAAATAACTCATTACAAACATTTCCATATTTTATACGATTAACAAGATTAACATTTAGCTATCTAATTATTAATGTTGTGAAGTAAAAAATACACCCCTGTCTTAATGCTTAATTACATTTCAATTTGAATTCATCTTATTTCACTGAGGTAATCTTCCTTGGAAATCAGCTTGATTTCTTCTTTTCAAGTGCATTGGATTTTAGCATCTTTGCTCTCAGGTGAAAAAAAACATTTAAGTATTACAAAATATTGGTGGCACTCATTGTCTAAATGACAGTAAATGAGAACTCTCTAGCTAAGCAAGAAACAGAAGTGCATAAGCATGTCAAGCTTTCGAAGGAAACACTAACAGAAGAAGTAACCAACAGGAATCATTCAAAATTTGGTTTCTAGTCACTACTCTGAACAGAGCAACAGGGCATGAAGGGGCAATGTAGATTGAGAAGAAAAAGTTAACTCTCTCTAATACTCCTAGACAGATATGATTACCTATTCAATCCAATTCTCTCCCTCATATAAACTCTTCCTCAGCCAAACTCTCTCTTCCCTGCCCCTCTGCTCTTCTCTCCCCTCTCATCTGCTATGAAAAATGACGTTTGGAATGCAAAATTAAATTGCTTGTCAGATGTAGTATAGTCTTCCCTCTCTCTCTCTTTTTTTTTTTTTTTTTTTTAAATACATTCACACATGGTTTAGCACAGTGAGGCAGAAAACAGGCCTCTCGGGTTAAGGGATTAAAACTGAACAGCTTTTGTGATACTGGTTCCCATAGTAATAACTATATTTTACATATTTTCATGTTTGTTTAACTCTCAGAAATTTATGCTCCTCTTCATCTGTACATTAATTTTTCTAACAGTTTATAAAAAATTCAGAAGATGATGACCCACTAGAACAGGTTGCTCAAGGAGGCTGTGGATGCCCCATCCCTGGAGGCATTCAAGGCAAGGCTAGATGTGGATCTGGGCAGGCTGGTCTAGTGGTTGGTGACCCTGCCCATGGCAAGGGGATTGAAACTCGATGATCTTTGAGGTCCTTTTCAACCCAGGCCATTCTACGATTCTATGAGAACTAGTCCCAGCATTATTTATTCAATGTTCCATCCAATTGGAAATTCTAAGAATTGTATGTGCGTGGATGCACACAGCAGTAATAAGTATGAAAAGGAGCCTTGCATAAATGTTTAGGAGCAAGAGTTCAGATTATGGAAATACCTAATTTTATACTTCTACTTCCCTATATTCTGAGTAGAGAGGATGTCCACAGCCAAAGCATTACTGACTACTGTCTAAATTTTTCAAAAAGACACCAGAGTTGTACACACAGCCACTAGAAGAAATCTTTCTTAGAGATGCATTTCTCATCATGATTTACTTTTTCAGTTAAGAGCTAAAGTAACCTATTCAACTGATCATATTATTCATATAAATCTTTCAACTGTGTGTCTTCCCCATTTACACAATGTAATTGTTTCAGATTGATGTGTCATTTTATACAGAAATCAGAAAGAATTTCCTATGTTATTCACTACACTTGTCTCTACTGAAAGAGACTTCTTCCTTCTTCACTTATTAAATACTAATGAAAATGCAAACATTTTAAAAAACAAACAAAAGAAAACCAGCCAAACAACCAATCTAACCTCTGTTCCAGTGCTAACAAGCACTCTGAGTTCCCCTCAGATGCCAGTTGTTAATATACAAGTTAAGAATCCCTATCTCAGAGTAATATTACTGGGAATGATTGTCCTGCAGTAGACTCCTCTATGGTAACAAGGTTAGTGGGAAACCTCAGTATGAATATGGGCCACCTTGGTCACTTGCACAGGTCAGCTCTAGGGATTAATTCTACGTGTGCTGTGATGTAATAGGGCTTTTATCAAAGTAAAAAAAAATCTGTAAGATTTTATGTTTCCTATTAAAAAATGTGATGCTTATTTAAAAATAATCTCAAAAATGCTGCTTCTCTGCCATTTCTATTTGCAGAAATGCAAATAACCCTTAAGAATGCTCCTCATTTGCTGTTAAATCTTACTTCTGAAATCAAACATTTTTCACTCATTCAAGATCAACGAATTTGTTTTGTCCAGTCATAGGAAAGTTGATATGCGCAAAATCAATCCCAACATGTAGGGTAACATTTGTCACTGTAAGAACATCCAAGAGCAAATATAACAAACAGAGGACAATTATTTAAGACAAAGGACAATTCCTACTCAAGTACAGGCTGGCCGTGTAAAAACTTGCAGTGAAAATCAGATCCTTAACTATTATAAGAGGAATGGTGTTCTGGTCTGACGATATTCTGAAACTTGTCAAATGCATGGAACGAGATCAATTTTCTAGCAGTCCCTACAAGATAATTCTGTATTTGCAACAAAAATCCGTATTTGAAGCTGATCAGTGGTCTTTCCCATACACTTCATTACAGGGCTTCTGTAATTAAAATTATTTCCTTACATTTAGAGATAAACTTCTATACCTGTCAGATCTTCTTTGGAGGAAACCAGTCGAGGAGAGCTGTTACCTGGCTCAATTCTTAATGATAATCTGGAAAAACAAATTTTTTAGACAAATTAACAATACTATTTGTAATAAAAGCTGAAATAAACTTATCGAAGCAATTATTTTGGCACTAGTAAGCAGCAATTTTACCTTGCTGGAAATGTAATTAATTTGGAAACCATGGAAACATTTATTTAATAAACCCACCACAAAATGGTCTGACTGGTCATGCCCATGTAAGCATTCAGCATTTCCTTGATAGAATGATGCAATTTTCCATGCATTCCTTGTGAAACTTAGGCACGGACATTCTCATATTTCTTTCAGTGACCACAATATTTGACAAAACCAAAAAAGATCTACTTCCACACAATTACCTGTTTTTCTTGAGGAGAAAAAAAGGAGGAAGACAAAGCAGAAAGGAAGACCTAAGTTTTTAACAACGTTCTAGAAAGAGGTATGTATCTTTATACAATCTAGAAAGCATCAGTGGAGTGTACTTAGCTTAAAAGTTCCCTGAAATAGCAACGGTTTTCAGTGCTACCAAATGAGATTACATGACTCCCTACTTGTTATATCCTCAGAAAACATAAAAATTGATGATTTTGTTTATCCGTTTAGTTAAGCTAAAGTACACTCTGAAATCTTCAGACCTTGAGAAGTTTGACTGTTTGGTCATTAACTTCATTAATGACAGAGTTCTGCAATTTTTTCACAATAACAAAGAATGGAATTTAGCTATTCATAATATGAAAAATGAGTATGTGTTAGAATAGCAATAATAAAAACCTAAATTTGAGCTTTGGTAAATACAAAATACTGATATTTAGATGTTTAACATAAATTATTTTTAAAAAGAGGATACATTCTGACAATAAGTTATCACTCCTGGTCTTCTCCCCTGTTCCCTCTCTCCCCTACAAGGATGAAAACAACCTAAGATTTTTATTTCATAGGAGACATACTGACAGTCAGGACAACTTCCAACAGCCTTGACTTACTTGTCACCATCCAAATTAATTTCTGGTTTTCCTCTGACACTGCATTTTCCACAGAGAGGCACTGGTTATCTATATACACGTATGTATTCAACTGCTCTCATCTGGATATGTATATATACAGTTATGCCAGCAGTGTAAGCCATCTCTTCCAAATAGTACTCACAGAGACAGAATCTTTGGCACCTCACATGCTTAGTGTTATACTACCAATAGGTCAATACAAACTTTACAACTGATGTATTTACCAACAAACAACACTCATATCCATCACAGACCAAATTATATTCTTCCAGTTTACTGCTCCTAGTCACAGATTGATAGAACTGCCCAGGTTGGAAAAGACCTCAGAAGATCATCTGGTCTAACATTTCATGGAAAAGGGTGACTAGAAGAGATTATCTAGCACTCTGTTCCATCTCATCTTAAAAACCTCCAGGAAGGGGGAATCCTCTTGGATACTTTTTATAGATGCTGCCTATCTGAACTAAAGCTTGAACTGCTTTTTATGGAAACTGTCTCACTTAGTATATTGGAATATCGATGTCTTGTAAATATGCTCTAAATAATTAAATTATTTTTACAGACAACATCCTACAGTACGTTTCAATCCTGTCTGTCATGTCCTGGTGACACTGCAATACAAACAAGTCTTCACTCTGTTTAATCAATAGTGTATATTAACAATAACACATTCAGAAAGACATATACTAACAAACATATGTCTAGCCCCAATACACATGCTGCCAGCTCTGCCACTTAAACTTGCCACTTTAAAAATTCATATATTAAAGCTGATGCCATAAATGCACTGCTTTACTACTGAGAGAAATGGCAGAAGCTTTAATGTCTCATTTCAGCTAGAAGGGACAAATCCTGAAACGCTTATACATGCAAACTCTTTTGGAATTAAAACATGTCCTGAATAGCACTTGAATTCTGGGCCTGGATTTCTTTATGGCTGTCAATAAGGCAGAGACTTAGTTATGACTCCTTTTTCTAGACATCCTTGATTACAGTAAAGTAAGTCTGAGGGAAGAACAGGGCTGGAAGATTAAGTAATGAGGTGAAAGGAGAAAACTTGCCTATTTGTCCAATCAAGGACCAAGGATAACCACAAAGAATACCGGGCCTGCCATAATGAAAGTTCAGCAAAAAGAATTGTTCTGGAATCACTGCAAGCTTGTTTGAATACTGCTGTCTAGCTCAGGGAAAAAGCGCATACCTGAGGACAAGCAGTCTCCTCACATAACTTCTAATGCTCTTACAGAAGGAAGAAGATTCTGCAGCAGTTGCATCACAGCGTTTTTCAAGCCTGCTGATTTTTGGTGATTTCCTGAGAAAACTATGATTATCAATATATAACTGACATATATGAATATAACTGAAAGGAATCCTGATGCTTTGGTTCCTATTTTTGCCCCCTCAGCCATGCAACCAGCAAATACTGTCGATTTCTTATCTTCTGTGGAGAACTGTACATGAGCTAAGCAAAAAAAAAAAATAATCTCTTATTTATAGGATATGACATCACTGTTAGGGGTTTTCTGGAGTAATTTTACTTGCTGACAAGCACAAACCTAAAGCAAGCAATTGGACTGGCACAAAAATCATAGAGAAAAGCTTTGTTTATATAAAGTGGCTGCCAAATTCTTCTCAGTGTAACTGAAGTTCCCATTTGGTGAAACGTGTGTTGGGATCCTGCCAATACATTTTAGGGCAACTATCTAAGCTTCTCTCCAGGACAGCCTGGTTGTGAGACAGTTATGTTCTTCCTGCCAAAAATCAAGCACAGACCTCTTTAGAGTACACAAATGCTGTCTCTAGCTCAAAATGAGATCTCACAAAAAAAGAGGAGGTAGAAAATTCTTTTCCATTATAAAAACTTTGTCTCGGCCTTTTTAAGGCCTTCAGTTTCTTCTGGCATGAGACCAGAAAATGCTATGAAGAGAGAAAATGTTTCTAGGGACAATTGAGAGGAAATATGAAATCAAATACTCAAGAAAATCCAGAAAATTCTTACCAAAATACACAGGCAGAAGAGGAATAGGAGATCCCTTTAAGGACAGATGTGATGACTTTTGACAAACGCAGACACTAATTTAAAACTTTATTTAGATGAAACAACATGGCAGAATAAGGTAAAGGTCCTCCAATACAAAGAAACGCATACCAACTGCAACAGCATTTATACTAAGTATCAAATCTTTCCTTCTTTTTAATACCTCATGAAATCAATCCAGTTTTTCCTAGTCAAGCCTAGAAAGAAAACTACTAAATAGGATTGAAATATTTTCTTGAACTTAAAAATGTACAAACAAAAGTACTTAGTAACCTGAAAGATACGTCAGTTATGTCAGACATGTTCCAGCGTTATCAGCAAGACTGCTACTAATATTACAATTATTTTCAAATTTAAACTGGAATTCTCATGACTTGTAGTGTCTACAAATATTATGTTATGGAACAATCAGCACATAGAAACCACTTGATTAATCAATTTTTACCAAGATGTTAAAGTTAATGAAAGTCATTGTATACACAGTGTTAACTCTGATACACCATGAAGAAAGTCCATTTAAAAAATCAAGTAAGCAACGTAACCAGTTTCTTGCATACAGTCCAGAAGATTTAGATCATAGCCTACAGTTAATACACATCTTGGACTGCCTGACCTTTACACAAAGCTGTGCACAGTGCAAATGTTCAGTATGCCTCTGCTGTATAATGCATTTTTATTCACAACACATACACTGTATCATGACAGTGAAGAAAGGGGAGAACGTTTGCTTTCTAACATCAGTACTCTGATAGGATTCTAACTCCGCGAAGCCAATAATGTTTACTTTGAAAACATCATACTACTTTTGTTTCAAGTCATTTTGCTACAGAAACGTTTTTATTCTTTGTAATTGTGATTAATTGAACACAAAAGCATACACCCATGAAACCTACACTGAAAAGTACAGCCAAGCATGTATTTTGCAGTGAACTACCCAATGCTAGTACGGATTCTTTTACTGAAATTTGCTGGAGTTTGCCCCCTAAGCAAGGGGACAAATTTTGGAACATTTTCACTCCATTTAATTTATGCCCTGATAATACTCAGAGAAGCTTTGTACCACTTCAAAAAAATTGCATTATCTAAACAGTTTCACTGTTAGAATTATTCTCTCAGGAAAAGCAAAGTCCTGCAAACATTTATCCCAGGAATCTACAGAATTGTCTGAGGAATAGTACTGTATTTGCAATGGTCTGAACCAGAGCTAAGTAGAAGAGCAACTGGACTTATCAACAAATATAATATTGTTCAAGAACAAACAGGAAGGGAAATAACTTGTCTCTTGCTATACACAAGTATTATGAAGTTTTTTTGGTCTCTAGTATGGCAACAACATTTTCAACCTGAACTACCTCAGTTGGATGTTATATTTGTAAGACAGCAATGTTAGCTATGACTGCACAGGAGCAGAATGGCTAGAGTAGGTCATTCTTTATGCTGGTACATGCCTGACACCGAGAACTCCATAAAAACATAGAAGAACTTCAAAAAAGTGAGCAGGACTACGGTAGTCATCCTGCCCCTGTACTCGGCACTGGTGAGGCTCCCCCTTGAATACTGCGCTCAGTTTCGGGCACCTCAGTACAGAAGGGACACTGAGGTCTGTAGCAGGTCCAAAGAAGGGCAACAAGGCTGGGGAAGGGCTTGGAGAATGGCTTGGAGAATATGGCCTATGAGGAGCGACTGAAGGAACTGGGGCCGTTTAGTCTGTGGAAAAGGAGGCTAAGGGGAGACCTTATTGCTCTGTTCAAGTACCTGAAAGGTGATTGCAGTGACAGTGGGGTTGGTCTCTTCTCACTGGTGACAGGATAATTAGTCTGCCCTTCTGCCTTCACAGATGCCAACTGGTCATATTCACTGCATTAACTGATCAGGTTTCAACTTAAACTTATTTAGTTATTTGTCTCTTTCCTCCACATAAGAAGCCATTCCAGAATTCCATTACTCTGATAGTGATACCACACTTCAACATTTACAATTTTTTTTATTAATTCATCCTTGTGATACCTTTCACCCTACTGTATTTAGATACTGTGATTCTATTAACTGAAGTTCTGTTTTTCCAGGCTTTCCTTAAATCTGTTGTTCTTTATTCTCCTCAACATGACGGTATTTTTGTTACAATCGATTCTGCGCAGATGTCCAGAAATTCATAGAGAACACCATGTAATGTATCACTGGCTTCCTTGTGAAACCGCATTAACAATTTAATTTTTCCTAGAAATAGTCTATTTGATAGAGAGTAAACATCATTTGTATTTTCACAGCAGTATTACAGGATTTTTGTGTCACTGCTGTTACAGTCATCAGACTAAATTATTCTTCCTTAGTGATGTTCCAGTCAACTTCTACCTCAATGAACCCTTCCAATACTTTTATTACCATATGGTCTAAGTACACACACATTTTGAGTCAAGGTATCAGCTGCATTACTTAATAACTTTGGTAACAAGACCAGTTTCAAAAAACATAACCTTCTCTCTAAAACATATTTTACAATCTTCCGTACCAACTGTATGAGAACCATTAGGTCACAGCCTGAACCAGTGAATGAGAACCTGGTGAAGGGATGTACCCAGCCCTGGGAACACAGGTGAAGCAATTAACCTGTGTAGCAGGCCCTGGATCCATCCCTCCCTAAACCACATTAAAGAGCAGCATCTCTACTCAGAGATCATCTCCTTTGGATTATTTGGTGAGCCCTGATCCTCAGGTGGAGGAGGGGTAAGTGTTTCCTTCTTTATTACCAGATTGTGACCTCTACCTTTCTCGGGTGATCTGAAAGTGGTTTAAAGTAGCCATATCTGCTACTGCTTATCCATACACCACTGTTACATTACCAAACATCCGGTCACTTCAAGCACTTAATTCTCAACTAAACAGAGGTACTCTATTTATCAATAGGTAATCATATAGCATTGTAGCTGTCTTGATTGAGTTACTTAAAACCTTAGCTGTAAGGTTTTAAAACCAGCACCCTTTATATTGTCTACTTTTAATCACTGCATTAGTTGTCTTTCTCACAAACGCCATAAACTTCCAGGTTAATATCTGAAGTACTAGCTTAATAAAAAGAGTAATTTGAATTTGGGAGATGTCTTTTATGTAATACTTACAACAGCATAAAGTAAATCCTGGACATCTTAAGAGATGGCTTCGGTGTTCCTGAACAAAATTCCCAGAATATAATCATTATGTAGTGGAATGAGGACTAAACCTTCATCTGCTTTTAAAAAACTATTTCATTTTGGAAAACTAGCTACATTAAGGGCAAAAATCATTCTGAATATTAATTAGGCATCTTGGTATTATCAACTCTAATAGCACAATATGAACTACTGCAGACGAACCCCACAGCATCTTCCGTCAACAGCTTCTTGTTCAAACACAAATCAAACTAACATTTGTATGCTGTTTCCTTTAAATTTTCCAAAACTAAATGAAAGAATAGTACTCACTTGTAATTGTCATCTTCCACAAATTTCTGAAGTTCCTCGATGTAACGGACAGACTTCAAATACTTCTGTACATGGGGTAGTGTCGTAAGATGTTCTATAAAGTGTTAAAACAAGATGAATATTCACATAATCCACAATAAATGATTCTTTTTTTTTTTTTCCTGATTCTCATGATTATCTTAACGGAAAGAGAGGATCTGAACTTCCGTATAGAATAAATAAGGCAGAATTATTACTTTGACTCTATGAGGATTTTAAAGATTTGATTGAGCAGAAGTGATGCTCAGTTGTTAAAGAAAACAGAACAGATGCATGCCATCATCATAGCATCTAGAGGATTTTATCATATGCTATCTCATAAGTGGAAAAGGAGTTCCTTTTACGTAAGCCCTGCCTAGATTTTGTACTGATTGTTTTGGGAGAAATTGAAGCCTGCAGCAATGGCTATTATTCTCATATGCATGAGGCAAGAAAAAAAAAATTATGATGCTGCATATCAAGATAAAAATATGCTAAATTCAGAAAGACAGAAAAATCCTTTGAGTGTATGGTGCATGAACAGGAACACATCTTGTAGTATCTGAATGAACTCTAACACTCTCATAAATACAAGTGTCATAAAGGTATCTATTATTCCATAAGATTGGTTCTTCAAGGCCACGTTTTAATTTTCATTCTGATTTTAACAAAACCAGTTAAAATTAATGCAATGTAGGAAGTTGCCCCACTGCCAAAAGGAAGGGGTCAGTGAGATAAGATTTCTTTTATCAAAGTATTCGGAGACAAATTGGAAGTCACAATAAGAATATGAAAGGTAAATACCCTACCTCTTCAGAATCATACACTATTATGCCTAATCCATAGCTTTAAATATCTTCTATCAAAATCTACAACAAAGAACAAGGGCTGGGTACTTAAACATACACAATATCTCACCTAACTTTCTCATAATCTAAGATTTAACCTTTTTTTTAAATTTAATTTTATTTTTTTTTAATTAAAAACATTCCCAAACTGGAGCATTTAAAATTCATTTAGTTGTACAGCTACTTCAAGGTTTTTAGCTTGTTCCATGTTTAAGCAATGAAAGTCCATGCTAAATCATCAGCAGTATGCTCTGTATTGTCAAGATCCCCAAAGCAGCACGTTTCTTGACATGAGGCTTTGCATAACAGGCTAGAATTGCAGAAATGAATTTCAGAGCACAATTCTGTTAACAAACAGAAGTAACATCATCATCCTCACTAAGTGAGGTATAACAAAAACTTAATAGATAATTTCACAGCTGTTGTATTTGGAAATATTTGTATTTAATTCTGTAAACTTTTCATCATGACACGAACAACAAAATGATAACAAAATCGACATATTGCACACTCCAAAAACAACATATCTACTAGAAAGGAAAGATGAAGATGTATTTCCCACTTACTGCTTGTACTGTCAGCTGTATTTGGAAATACATCATTTGTAGCCCATACACAGCAGTAAATGCCACACAATTCTGTTACAGTTCTTACAGTTCAGAATATATGCTCATTTGCCTGTGTCCAATGTTCAACTCTACCATTCTTATCCTCTTGTGTTGCCTTTACATAGGTTAGAAACTTCTTATGTTATTAAAGACACTTCAGTTAAGACTTATTAGGAGTAAAAAATAAAGTATTACCAACCATAGTTACAGGAGACTTGCAGATCAGCTATTATTCGGAGAATATTGTTCATTTGATTGGATCTTTGTTCATTTTCCATAATGCTGCCTGAAGCAGGATATGCAGAATCAATGTAGATTAAGTCGAAGAGATAAATTCCTGAAACAAACAAATAAATCAATCTGGTGTTTCACACTGAAAAAGTTGCACAATTGTTAATGAGCAAAATGGCCAGCAACTATTGACCACCACCATCTTCTAGGTTCATTAAAAAAAGGATTCATCTGTTCAAACGTCACCGCTTGTGTTATAATTCTATGGTATGTCTTTAGAACAGGGACAGAACAGGTTTTGCTTTGTGCGCTTCTGCAGACTGATGTCTACTACGAAAAATTTGCAGAGCCGTAACCAATGAATATGAGAACTTAACTTGGCATTTTTCGCTTTTCAGAAGATCCCTTATCACGTGAAAACAATCTACTGCCAACATTCTCTGGGGTAAGTAAGAGCACTACTAGTTATCATCTTCTCGTTTGTTTACAGTTAGTTTCCATTCCATCTTTCAAATTCAGCTAAGAACTTCCTCTGGAATGCATGATAAAATCATAGCTCCGTGGGAGAACTGTGTTGCAATCTGTAAGAAAAGCACTGAAATGTGCTGCAACTCACACATACAGGGCTGTCTCAGACACAGAACCTGCAGCCTTGCAGGGTGAGTAGGACAAGCATCTTATCCCTTCCACAACAAAGTTTTTCAGAAATCACCACATGCACTTTATTCAGTGATCACTGCAGCTATCACTGCAGTATCAAAAACATTACCTCAGTCTGACTTTTCTTTAAAGAATTATGCTGACATTTAGGGTCAGCTAAAAGTAAAAACTTAAACTAATATATTCCTAAACTATTGTATAAGATGAATAGAGAAGTTCGTGCCTCTTTTTTGCGTAACAAAGAAAGCAATATTCTTCTCAACAGGAAAATAATTTGTGCAGCATAAAAATCTGCCGTATTTCCATATCACATTTTCCATATCAGATTTTCCACATTCTTTTTTGAGCAGGTATATAATTTTTTTTGAGCATGTATATAATTAATGACTTTTTTTTCCCTCTCATGTTTTCTTGCCCTGCTTCAAAAAAAGCACTCTTAGTGTTTCAGGAAAAGAGCTAGCTGGCTCAGTTACTCTTCCAGCTTCAGCACATTACATTCTCTCAATAAATTCCAACTATTAAAGCAACAGGAAATGCAATTGTGCTAGTCAAGCAGAATTTTTTCAAAATGAGGGAAAGCCACTACAATAAATTGAATGGAGCACCTCTAAGCAACACACACTCCACTCTGAAACAACTTTAGTATGCTTGCATTAATTACTAATAATCTTTGGAAGCGTATTAAGTTCATGCAGTGAAAACAAATTATTTTTCATGTTATCTCCTGGTAATAAGTACGCCTCAAACTTACTCATTCAAAAAAAAAAAAAAAAAGTAAGATTTCCATTTGGGAAAATATAAATTCTTACCTGAAATCAAAACATAATTACATGTGTTCTCTAGCCTTCAGTTAGATACTACTATCATCTACAGCAGTAAGTTACAAATCAGCAACAAGAGTCAATGGAATTCAAGAAAAGCCACGTGGCTTACTGAAGTTTGCTCCTTCACAGTTTATGAAAAACAGCTCAGGCAATTTTGTCAGATTTACACAAATAGTAAGTATCTGCACAAGTGCAATCTCCTTCACATGTTGAGTTCACCTGACACTTCATTAATATGTAGTCTTATAGTTCAGACTCAGACTTGCTGTGCAATTCTACAAATCTCAAGAACTATCTGCTGGATCTGCACTAACTTTTCTCTGTCAATTAGGAACAAAATCACAGAGTGGTTCGAGTTGGAAGAGATCTTTAAGATCTAGTTCCAGCCCCCCTGCTATAGGCAGGGACACCTTCCTCTAGACCAGGCTGCCTTCAGCCTCATCAAGCCTGGCCTTGAACGCTTCCAGGGAGAAAGCATCTACAGCCTCTCTGGGCAATCTGTTCCAGTGTCTTTATGGAGGTCTCTTGCAAGAATTTTTCTCACTAGCTTGCTCTTTATCTGATTTTGCAGATATCTGACAAGCTGATAAGTAAAAAGTTAATTGGGGCACACATCGGATTACGTCCAGCATCAGCCAGGTTGTAAGCACCTACCTTACTTCCTTCATTTAAGCCTATCTGTGCATGCATTCTGAAAAATCCTTCAATTGCTTAGGGAGTAGTAGATAAACAAATTATACAAACTATCACAGAAAAATGAAGAAACAGACACAGAAGCAGTGAAAAGCAATAACAAAGTCAATTCATTCTGAACTGTTAATGTTTTGCTGAGAAAACATAAGGTTATAACTAAGCTGTCTCCCGATCTTACACAGACCATCCAGCATGGGCTACAGAAGACTGCATCATCATCTATTCTGTCCGTGAATCAGTAAAGAGTGCTCCAATGGACACTTAATTTCAGAATCTCACCAGAAAAAATATATATATTTAATCCTTATAAATGAGTGGAATATAGTTGGATTAACAACACATAAACCAACTGGCTTTACCTCTCTGGAATAGAAAAAAAAAAAATGCTTAGAAATCAGGTCAAGTTTTACAGTCTAGTTTAGCCTCCCTCCTTCACTGGCTCAGAAAAATCTAAAAATATTTCTTCCCACGTTAAAACTGCTCTCTCCTGAGGAGATAATAATTCTTACAGATACACTTGCAGTTTATAAGGTGGAGACTCATATGACTCGGACTACCTTAACACTTTAAGCTTATAAGAAATCTGGGGGATTTACTGCTTCCTAAAAAACATTCTGAATTTGTTGTCAGTTTTCATTTCTATGTACTTCTACCTCTAGAATGACAGAATTCAGTACCATTATTGAAAATGTATCTGACTATTAAATGACACTCAGTGGAAGAGGGAGTGACTGAGTTTGGTCTTTACACCTGAAGTATTGTCCTATTAATTAACTTACAGCAGCATATTTCATCTGTGTCTACACACCTGCAAACTGAAAAATAAAATTTTCATTTAAGAAAATTAGGTGAGTAGGCCAACATAGTTACTTCTGTATCTTCACTGTGGGTAATAATTTATACCTATAAGATCACAGTTAATTCCCCAGTATACTATCTACTGGTAACTATAAAGGTATTATTGCTGCTGGCAAGTGGTGCTTGCTGCCATCTTAACACGACATTAGAAACAAATAGTCTTGCTCTTTCCATTTAGCATTCCTGAAGCATTACCTAATTTCCACATCTCTCTATCTCTCCAGCTTTGCAGGAAAACTAGCAGTCTCTGCTAAGTCTGTCAGTGAACTGAATATCCTATTAAATATCCTATTAAATGACTTGAACTTGACTGTTTAAAAAAAAAAAAACAACCTAGAATAAATCACCTCTCCACCAGGCAGTGTGTGTTCTCTCTAGTGTGGTCTGACTACAGCCTGTCCCACTTCTGTATGCCTTCATTGTGAACTTCCTATATACATCATGTGATGATAGGGATAGATAAGAATCAATTTATTTTGCTCAGAGAAAATACAAAATCATTCCTCTCAGCAAAAGACTTCAAGACCTGCCTCTGAAAAGAAAGACTCAGATTTGCACTATGCCAAAGAAAACACAAACCACTAGCTTTTCAAATGTTGGCTTACATTTGTGCTACTGTGCACAGAAAAGGCTTTCAAAGATGTGAAACCATCGGGATATTTTCCAGAGGGTGAGCTCATGGGCAGCTGCTTCTGCAGGCAAAACATTTTCCAGTGAGATTGACATTTTTCCATTGTCATTAAAATCAATTTTGCAGCTGGTTATTGCATGTGGAGAATACCATATTCATTAGTTTATGGCATCAAGGAAATAACAACACAGGAAAAGCATGGCTGAATAATCTATGGTTAAATTCATCAATGGAAATTACAGCATGTAAAGAAGAGAGATTATTTTTAAATGACAAAAAAAAGAACTATAATACCTTGCTCTTAAATTTTTACTCTAGAGCTCAATCAAAGCAGTAATATTACCAACAGTTTAGAGATAGGGAAATTGAAATATAACACAAAACAGAAAACTGAACTTCAAATGTAGGAGTCAGTACAGCCAGATCATGCATTTTGAGCATTCCATCTACTAGAGAGCAACAAATTAAGTTTTTTTTGAAAAGCCTTTTCCCACATATAGTATTGAAGTTCTACCATACTACGTAAAGCAGAGGACAGAGAGAAAGCTACTTATCAATTGAGTAACTAGTTGAAAGTCAAAGTCACTATAGTCAGCAGTCTGTAAAACCAAAGATGCCATTCTTAGCAGATTAGCTCATAGTCAGAGAAAAGACTACAGTTTTGTGGTATCATTGGTTTCACAAAATTTGGACATTTTCCATTGACTATGGGCTGGAATATTTTTCTATATAACCAAAGTTATATACTGGTTAGTCTTGTTAGGACTTGGAATACTCTAAGAAATTGAACATGCATCTTTTCCAAGGCAACAACATGCACTTTGTAATAGATACTGCCAGCCTAGCGGCCAAATGAATGCAGTCGCTTAGAGGAAAGTAAGGGCAGGATTAAGACCAGTTTCATTTATTTCTATCTGATGCCAGTTAGCCAGAACACTCACATATACCAATGCATACTACAAGGTTGTCAAAAGGACAAAAAGCTTTATCAGAGAAAATATTTATGTTATTTTTACCTCTAACAGTTTCAAATTCTGAAACATTCCCAAGAAATACTGACTTTTGGTACTTCTTACAGTGTATCACATGCTTTTACTACAAGTACAGACCCCTGCCCAACTGGTTTTCCTGCTTCGATCTCTTGTTGACAAACCTCTACAACCCAAATGGGGTTCAGATCCACATGAAGCAGCACTGCACACTTGACTCACCTATGACACATTCCACTTTTGACCCCACGTACATGTTTGCCACTATGTTTGCATTCTTACTCAACCTTCTCATTTTACCTGTACATTGTAACCATAGCTTTTTTTTTTAATTAGCCTCAGAATGTTTGATTTTTTTTCCTCTTTGTAGAGTATCCCTGTTATTGTGACCTAATACTCAATTAGAGAAGCACCTTAAAAGAAGCATCTCAAAACTTCAACTTATTAATAT